GACCACAGTAGATAACTGGCACTCCTAAATCCACACAGCCAGAGAAATATAAGCAAAATGAAGAAGCAGAGGAACTGCTCCCAATTAAAAGAAAAAGAGAAGTTCCCTGAAAGAATAAACAGTGAGACAGACCTCGACAGTCCACTAGATCATGACTTCAAAAAGGGGGTGATAAAAGCACTGAAGGAAATAAGAGAGACCATGAATAGAGACAGGGGGTACTACAAAAAGGCAATAGAAACTATAAAGAGGAGCCAATTAAAAACAGAAAACTCAATGGCTGAGAAAGAGCCAAGCTAAAGGCAGTCAAAAGCAGAATAGATAATGCAGAGGAACATGGAAGTGACTTAGAAGACAAGATAACAGAAGTCACCCAATCAAACAATGATCATGTCTATTATATTAGTAGCAGCTGAATAATAAATGTCTGACTTTAAAATATCTCTGAATTTAATACAAACATAAAATTTCTTGTGAAGCCCATTTTTTAAAATAGATCTAGCTAGAGTGCTACTTACAGATTGGAAGGCAAAACAGACATAAATAGGAGAAAGATTTTACAGGTGCCTCAAAGCTGTTCTTAGATTCTTAACTCTCAAAAGCAGATTTTATGACAAAATAACAGAATAATTTGCTTCTTGAATATTGGCTTTATGCATGCCACTTCCAATTCCATTCACACAAATTACTGAGAAACTTGAAAACAAAATGTCCTTGATGTAGCATAGATAACTGAAACACATGTTCATGAATGTTATGATGCTAATTAAGATTTACTAAATAAATATTCAGACAATTTATTTAAATGTGAAGGAAAAGACATTCCCACTGGCAACCATTATATAAAATAAAAAACAGGCAGATTTACAAACCTAAGAAATCTATAATGTTTCCCATGACATAAATAAGATGGGGAAAATATAATAAAGGATATTCTAAGCACTTGTATTATCTATCCTACTCAAGTTTTTCTATGTTAGCTCTATAAAATGAATTAAATTAGGTTTCATAGCTTCTTAAACTAAACACCAGGTTCTTAAGCTGAAAGGGATGGAATTATATTTTGGTGATGGATGTGAGGGAGCAGAAGGTAGTCCATAAAATCACTTCAGAGACCTAGAGATATTCTAAAACTGTGTGTTTTACACAGTGTGGATGTTCACCTTTTAAATCCACTCTGATTTAGAAACAAAAATATTCTGAAGTAAAGAAGAATACTTACTGGCCACCTCCTCAAGGAATGCTACCTACCTATCTATGGAAAGATGCGTGTAAAACTATTAACAGCAGTTACTTCTGAAGAGGTAGTTTAATAATGTGTGATCAAAGGGAACTTAAGTTTCATCTGTAACATATGGAAGCCGAGAGTGAAGATGTAATCTTGTACTATTTGTATAATCAAATATAAACAATTTTTAAACGATTACATACATTTTTAAAAGTGGAAGGTGCATATGTAAGATAGCCTCAGCTGTACTGAGAATCAAGAAATCTTTATGAAGGATAATGTTTTATAAAAATTCTTCTGAGTAAAAATTTTCAAAGAGTAAACAAAATACATCAAGTGTAAGGAATACTGAAGCTAATCATGGAGGGTCTAGAACAGAAAGCAAAAGAATCTATGTTTATTCTTTAAGCGATGAGAAACCACTCTCAAAGTGCTAGAGTAAGGGAAGAAATGTCCATACTTAAAAATAAACTAATCAACCACTCCGCTCACCAAAAGGTTATTTTCTCCTCTTGAAGACTAAGAATTATCATATGCCAAATCACGAAAACTAGAAAGTATTTAAAATGGGAAAATAAATGGTGTATGTTTACATGTATGAACTGTTTCATTTACTGAGAGTAACAAAGAGTTTGCAGTAAGCAAAACTGAAAATGTTTGCTGACAACACAGTTTAAATAGAACATTTCAGAATTCCTATTTGTTTGTTCTAGAAACAGTATTCCCTCCCACTGAATATGTTATTAGTATAAATACCCCTCCTAAGTCAGAACAGAATTAATCTTACCCTTGATTTACACTGCTAATTTCGGCAGGGGCTGACTATGACTACTTTAAAGAGGACAATTGAAGAGGACCTGTGTTTCCTATCTGTTACACCAGTTACAGTTTTAAAACTTGCAAGATGCTTCAAGTTAGTAAGCAGTCAACTACACCATTCTATTACAACCACGGAATGCTAGTTCTGTTTACTTCATAGTCTTATGACGCTTTCTCAAACTGGCTTTAGAGGAGGTAAGTTGATTTCCTGTCTTCTGCTACTCGGTAAGAAAACGTCATGCAGTAATCTAGGAACAAGACAATAAACGCCTTTACTCTTATGTTAAAAATACTGTTCTCTCTTCTGGCAAAAGCATGCTTCAAATAATCTCAGGGCTCAAGAGCAGATTTTAAATGGTTTAAAATAAAATTTAAAGCCGTTTCCTCAGTATTAACTACAAAAGGTCGTTCACTATTTTCAAGGGGACCATGACTTAGGATTTGATATTTTAAAAGAAGTGCTTGTAAATGTTCAGTCCACCTCAAAAAATTTTTCATGCTATAAGCGCCAGTAAAACAAACAAGACCCTTCCCAAAAAACCCCATCTTTCTGAATCATGGTAAAAGGTGAAAGACTGAAATATGAGCAGAGAGAGAGAAATGAATTCATTGTACCAAATGGAAATATAAGATCTAACTGAAGGTAGGCAGGAAACTTAGAATTAGCATAATGCATCACCACCCAAGCAGGATCCACGGTGCCCTTGCAACAGGTTGTCAATCTGTAATTGGTGGGTAAGTCACATACTAATTACCTATTTATCATAATTCCAAAGGCAATGTTTAAAAACGTATAACCCATTTTCTAATGTCAAATTCATCATCACAAATGATATTTAATAAGCAACCTCATGAATATGATTCTATAATGCTCTCGGTGGTAAAATAAAGGGTACAGTTAAAGAGACTGATGCTTTACACTTTTAGGAGCAATATTTAGATAACAGCCTACAGCCTAAGAAATGTTTCAATTCTAAATGAAGATGATTCAATATCAGTCATTGTTTTCTAGTAGTAAAGATTTTTCTTACGATTAAAGGCATGTTTCAGTTAGTAAAAGGTACAATTAAAAGCAGGGAATGAAGTAAGGACTATTGGCTTCATTAATACCTTACTCTGATACTAACATGTATTTCAAAGCCAGGAAAAATAAGTCCTTAACTCTTATTAAACTGCATTGTGCTGAACAGAGCCAATGACACTTAGCATCCATTCCCAATACCTTGTAGTATTTTATAGTCTATGGGAGGGGAAAGTAAAAAACTATTATTGCCCAGATCCCCTTGCAGTTATGCTTCCAGATGTGAATTAGATTCCACAATGGAATGTGCTTATGTACAATTTGAAAGGTAGGAATTTTGTGGTCATTTTGCCTTGGATATTTCTGTTTCAAGCATCATCATGATGATGCAGAGATTCTCTGATGTACTGTTTCAGTGTCTAGTATCGAGCTTTGTGGCAATTACAGTGAAAGATTTCTCTTTCCTTAATTACAACACTGGCATCTTGTTCTTGATCTCAACAGAGCTTGATCTCAACAGTTCCAGTGGCTAAGAGAAAAAAAGAACAGCTCTCTTGGCCTGCCTGTACTTAGAGTGACCTAAGAGTCATTCCAGGACATTCAATCTGCAGATCTCCAACCCTTCCAAGAAGTAAATTTGCATAAGAACATTAAGAACAGTGGGAATATGCGGTGTTCTGGCCCCAGAAGCACTTCCCATTAACTAAATACACACACACATAGAACCTTCACCACACACACGCACGCACACACACGCACGCACACACGCACATACCAGAAACCTTGAAGAAGCTGACAAATATTTAGCAAGATGAAAAAACAGAGAAGACACAAATGACTAGTCAGGAATGAAAGAAGGATTAGTAGGGTCCAATGGAAAGAGCAGCACATGAGGGAAAAAACAAAACAAAACAAAACAAAAAAAACAAAAAACAAAAAACAAAAAACCCTATCTGCTAGTGAAAAGAGAATTCTATTCACATATACATGTTTGTCCATACCCTCCTGGAATTTAATTATGAAATTATGTCAGTATCCAAGTGAAACAGTAGGTTGAAATAAGGAAAAGATGTAATGAAAAATTAAGATTTAAATTTACCTTTTTAAAAGGTAATACCATGCTCACGATATGGTGCTGGGTTACATTTTTTTTAAACTGAGATTATAAATTTAAGAAAGAATCTAGAAGATTTCACAATGCAAAGTTAAATTACAGATGTTTACTGCTTCAGTAAACATTCATGGTGGGAAACCAAATATAGAAGGCAAAGGAATTAAGAGTAGAGTGACCATATGATTTATCTTTCAACCCATAACACTTTTGAGAATGAAAGAAGGCATTAATAGTAATTATGATGGTTAAGACAAGTATACACTAGGACTGCTTCAGGCAAACCCAGACATTTGGTCTCTAGTTAAGAAAAACAACCAAAAATTCTTTGCTATGATTTTTTTGAGTATTACTATGTTAACAGGCACTCTATGATACAAGACTTCATCTGTCTTATTCACTGCCCCTAGATGAGTGCTTTTTGCATAGTAGGCACTCAGTAAATAATTATTGAAGGAATTAATAGTTTTCCTTTACTTAAAAAAAGTTTCCTGAGTCTGTAAAATATAGCTTCATTGTTTAAACATCATTATACCCTAAGTTTGTGAACAAGCATTAGTTCACGCATGCAGACTTAGAAGAGTAACAAAAATAATCAACAAACCCATCGCTATGTATTAAACATGGGTGACAGAATATGGAAATTAAGGCACAGCAATTAAAGAGTAATAATGGCATACAACATGCTTCTAATTTATAATGCAATAATGAAAACAAAGTTTAAACCTACAGAGGAAGTTACTCATTTTAAAATGTTCTCTTATTCTAGTCATGATATTCAACCAATATCAAAAGAAGACAAATCTAATTTAATTTCTTACCTGCACAGCCGAAAGCCAAATGGTATCTGGAAGAGGGGCTGAATTTAACACAGCACACGTTAGCCTTCGCCTCAATGCTCGCCACTGAGTTGTCTAGGTTGGTAGACCATAGCTTCACTGAGAGTAAGGGACAATGAGAATGAGAAGAAATAAACAATACATTAGCTTCTATAACCTAGAAAGTTTGCTTATTGCTACAGCTATCTTTTCACACTAATCTAAGCATTTTGGTTTACTAGGATTAAAAATGCTTAAACTGAATGAATGACTAATAGAACAGTGTATTTAAACCAAGAGAGCTTAGTTTCAATTTAGAAAACAACATGGATAATCATTATATAATGAGAGATAACTTGATCTCATAATTAAGGCAAAAAGGTAAAAAAATGCAATCTGGAGATACACATGTATTCATTTTTGTATACTTTGTATTGTATGTCTGTATAAAGTCGGGCAACTACACAATTTATCTTCCAACTCTACACTTTTGAGAATCTTACACATATTTTCTTATGTATGATTGATAT